GCTGCCAATGTAAAGGAGTTGTAGGAGAGGTTTCTGGGACCAGTATAATGGGCTTTTTCCCCTGGAACTGGTGGGGAGGTGAGGTTGGAAGGCGCTGACTTTAGCCCTTACCCCTTTGGCTGTAGCTGGTTTGGGGATTTAGAATCAGACCCTGCGCCCACGCCTAGAAGAGCGCCTAACTTAGGCGCCTTTTTAATTTTTACTCACTCGGCGGCGGGTCCTTGACTCACTCCAGGTCTTCCGCAGCATTTCGGCAGTGAAACCCCCGGCCCTGCTCCTCCAGCCAGAGAGCCGGGCCCCGCTCCCCCGACTGGCGCGCCGGGAAGAGCGCGGAGAACCCCCCAGCCCCGATCCCGCGGCCGGAGCGCCGGGAGGAGCACGGCAAACCCCCGGTCCTGATTCCCCAACTGGAGTGGCGGGCGGAATGTGGCGAAACCCCTGGTCCCGATTCCCCGGCCGGAGCGGCGGACGCCGCACGGCGAAACCCATGGCCCCAATCCCCCGACCGGAGTCCCGGGACAAGTGTAGCAACACCCCCGGCTCTGCTGCCCCGGGCAAAGCGATGAGCGGAGCATGGCTAACCCCCCTGCCCCGATTCCCCGGCCGGAGCGGCGGGCGCTGCGCGGCGAAACCCCCGGCTCTGATCCCCCGGGGAAGCGGGGCCAGGGGTTTTGCCGTGCTCCTAATGGCGCTCTGGCTGGGGGAGCGGGGCCGGGGTTTCATCACACTCCGCCTGCCGCTCTGTCCCGTGGATCGGGGCCGGGGGTTTCACTGCGCTACTCCCGGGGCTCCAGTCAGGGGATCAGGGCCGGGGGTTTCGCTGTGCTCCGCCCACCACTCCGGCCGGGGGATCAAGGACGAGGTTTTCACCGTGCTCCTCCTGGCGCGCCAGCCGGGGGATCGGTGCCAGGGGTGTTGCCACGCTTCTCCCAGGGCTCCGGTCAGGGGATCGGGGCCTTGTCCTTCAGTGCCGCCGAGGACCCGGAGCGAGTGAAGGACCTGCTGCCGAAGTGCCACCAAAGACCTGGAGCACCGCCGGGTGAGTCATCCCTGCCGAGGCCCCGTCAAAACTATTCGAATCGGGCCCCGCACTTCCTAAAGCAGGCCCTGCTGTTCCCCATATGGAAGGGACAGGAGAGATGTCTGTTACGTGTGTTTTATATGGATTGGATTGTTTTCATTTAGCTTTAATTACTTGAATTTTATTAATCTGCGTTGGAGACACTTCTTCTTAACTCAGTTATACCATGCAGGTCTTGGATGAGTGACTGTTGATAAAACTCACTTGTAGTTATTATTTAAAAATGTTATTTAATTTATTTCATTTTGTTTGCACCAGCCTGTGGAGAACAGAATGAATGGTAGAGATGCAAGTGAGCTTTTCTGTTCTTGTTTGAGGGAGTGCCAAATCTGCTTAATGTACTTTAAAATCTCTCAGTCACTCATGATTAGCTAACTGCTTGGCACTGGTATGGATCAGCAGTCAGGTTTGTGCATACTAAGTAGCAAAATGTAGAAATTAATGTGTTTACTTAATGTGTACACAAATATACATATTCACCCCCCAAAACCCACATGAATATATATAGAAAATCCACATGGACAATAATATAACAGTTCCAACTTTTCCAATCTCTGGTGCCCCAATGATCATTAGGGGCAGATTGAGAAAAGTATTTAGGTGGCTAAAGATGCAGATAGATACTTAGAGGGATTTTCAAAAGTGCCTGAGTTAGGCGCTAACTTCCATTAACTTGAATTTGAGTTAGGTGCCGAACCTACTGAGGGACTATTGTAAATCCCTCAGGTGTCTGTCTGCATCTTTAGCCACCTAAATATCTTTGTCAATCTGTCCCTAGATGAACAGTGTAGGTTTTAGATCCTCAGGCAGTAAGGCATTTGTTTATTGCTGAGGATCAGGGATCTTCCTCTAGAACAATACTCTCTTATTTTGTGCTGTATTCATCAGTTTGATGAGACTCCTATGTAATGATGTTAGAGAATAAGAAATGGTGGTTAGTTATTCATTTTATGTTTGTTTAGAGGAGAGAAGAGAAATTCACAGTAATGTGAAATTCAGCCCGAAGAGATAGTGATATTACTATTTCATTTGTTGGTATTGTGGCAGTGCCTAGAAGCCCAAGTCGTGGACTTATACGTTATACTGAGTGTTGTATGCATATAGAACAAAAATAAAAGCCCTGTCTTAAAAATCTGAACACATGATGTTAGACAACCCATGGAGTAAAACAGGAGAGAGAATGGTAGCAGATAAGTGACTGTAATAAGTAGTAGGCATAGTATGGTAGTAAGTACAGGATTCTGGGAAAACCACTGCCCTATGGAGGTGTGATTTCTAATGCACACCAATGTGTTGCTGGGTAGCCCTGCTGGCATGCATTAAAGGTTTCCTCTTGTGCTTTAACTTAGTGCTCTTTGAACCAGTACATTAAAGGGCTTTAGGGAACATTACAAAGAGATTACTCATGACAGAGCTACTGTAATGAGTAATGTAAAATAATATACATTACTCATTCTAGTATATACAGAAAACCAAAATTTTTGGACATTACATCAAACGAAAATTGCAAAAAGTAAACCCCCAAAATGAAATTAATAAACTAAAAAAAACCAACACAGAAGCCCTGATTATAAGCTATAATGTCAGTATTTACTCTTTCAACACTAGAGTATGTAGTTTTCGCTTGTGTACCTGCTTTGATCAGCAAACAAAAGTAGTTACTAAGTACATTAGCAGGGTGTTTTGCTTCTTTGTATTCACTACAACATCAAAGCAATGACAATCCTTTATGTTGTCATTGGAAAGATACAGTGTTGTTATTAGACCTGTGCTTTTTATAGTTTCCCCAAAACTGTGCCAGGCAGTTGTGACAGGAACAAGTCCTTTGTGTGTTAAAAGACTGACATTTGACCAATGAACAAATGTGGCATTATTTCATCTAGATAATTTATTTTGTGACTTTTCCCAAGATACTAATCCTCAGCAGGCTGATGTTTTTCTAAACTACTAATTAAAATATGCATAGGAGAAGAACATGTGTGCATCCATGTGGTGATGACAGTCGTGATAAATTCCAGAGCCATGTAATAAATCACATTTATCTTTAACTTTTGGCTGCCTCATGTGTACCTAAATACTTTTGCCTGCATTCTACTCACTACTCTGTCACCCCTAGGGCTGCTAACATTCCTCAACTCTCATCGACTCCAAAGTTTTTTTAAAACAACCTGCCACAGAAATGTTTCATCCTTTCCCCCTTAAATATGAAATTAACTGTTACCCCCAAAATAATGACTCTCAGAAGTAGGAGGGATAATATTCAGGCTCAGAAAATACACTGCTGCATGTATTTTCTCTATTATAGCTGAATTGCCAGTGCCAGCTGTAAGGTGGCCTATGGGTTTCTATTGTGAACTCCCTTTTTCATTTACTCATCACTCTTTCAAGTTAGGAGAGAGACATATGGACACAAAATTCAAGGGTGCAATTTGGCATGCAGTGGGTTTGGTGTGGTGCACTGCCTCAATGGGAATTCCCAGAGGTATAGACACGAGGACTTGTCTGCAGGTGGAGTTCTTCAGACATAGTTATTCTGGAATAACTATTCTTGAAGAACAATATGCATGGACATTCTTATTGTGGAATAAAAGTGTTCACATGTGGAGTTAATCAGGAATGACTCTGTGGGTAGACAAGCCCTGAGAAACCCTTGAAGAGGAGGGAGTGTGTCCTTTCCAGAGTGAGACCAGCTCTGCAGGCCAGTGTGCAGTGTGGATTGTGTCCTATCTCTGTCCCCTCTGGGATTTCTAGCTCTAACAGCATTGCTGGATGGGAGTATATCTTTCTTTTGTAATAGTGCAAGGACCACAGTTGTGTTTCATTTCTGCATGGGAGTTGGTGGAGGTACAGAGAGGGGTTTTTTTTTGTGCCCTCTCCCTATGCCTTTGCATTCCCTGCATGTACTAAACACAGTTCTGCTCTAAGAATGTCAGATTTAATATTGTTTTAATCTACAATAACTACAAAATATGTCCTATCTAATGGGGCTGTTGCCCGGACCCTGGAGTAGACCTAAATTGGAAGGCATGGCTTTGATTTCTCTCTTTTCTAAATTAAATGGACTGGTTTTACTTAAACTAATTGGGATTCCTGTGATAAGTGCTGCAAGGTGCTCTTGGACTCAGAGAATGAAAACAAAACTCAGGATTCAGATCATCCAGATTAGAGCATCCAAAAGCTGAACACTTCTATACATTGTCAAAATGTCAGATATGGTCTGCTGGGGAATGGGAAAAGTCTAAAAGCTAAGAGGAACAGGGTGGTGTTGGGAGCTGAATAGTTACATGGCTATGTATTGTGTTTTGATGCTTTTTAATCCCTCAGACTACTCCCCCCACCTCCACCCCCACCCCCCATAGATATTTTATTTTCTGCAAAACTATAAATCAGTGTGCAGTGCGGGAACAGAGTTTAAATACTGAAATAGTAGGGGGACACAACCTCCCGCTGGCCAAGGACAGTCTGTAAAGCTTTCTTTGTCTTTAATGCTTAATCATGTAATAACTACATAAGTAACTTCGCTGCTGTACTCTAGAATTTTAACACTTTAACACACTGAGGGTCAAATTCACCACCAGTGTGAGTAGAGGGACTCCATTGATTTGAGTACAATTATATCTGTTTACACCATTGGTAGGTATGGCACCCAATGTTAGTGTATAGCATTTTCAGTGTGTTTTCTTTGAGGTACTGAATGACAGAACAAATCTGAAGAAAAGTTGTTCAGAAACATGGTGTCTGATGGTTCTCATTTTGCCTTGACTGTGATGTCTTCCCAGGGAGCTTATGATCACATTCTTCTGGATATACCTGTCACTCGAGAACAGACAAATCACTATCGGGCTGTGGCTGAAACTGCCCGTAGTGAACTTGCAGCACTTCTGGTAAAGTATGAATGTGCCCAGTCAGAGGTAAGTCTTAAAGAATCATCCTCCCTCCCTTCCCCCCAAAAGATCCCCCTAAAAGTTCCTTTTTCTGTTAATGTGAGCTATGCACACAGTGCAGAGAAAGTAGATCCACTAAATCTCCTTACAGGGAATGTAAAATGTATCTTTGTTTTATTAATTGTGGGATTTTGTTTTTGTTTTCAGATTACATTTATTCAAATTTGCCACAAGTTTTTTTTTCTGCTTATATCAGTTGCCAGTCTTTGCGCCATTATCTTGTTCGTTAATTGAAGTTGGCACCAGGATGATTTTCTTATTGTGTTTGGCTGTAAAATACAGTATTTCACAATTCTAACCAAAGTTAATATTTCAACACTGTGGTTATCTGAGTGATTTTAACATATGTTGATTCCAGGGCTCTCATATTTTTCCCACTTGTTAACATGTTCATTTTTTATTTCCATTATTTTGAATGAAGCTTAGTTGATCCAGTTGTGCAGTACAGTTATGCAGAAAGGTGGTTTTTCTGTGCTGATAGAAATGAATGATAGCGTCCTATACTCATAGCACTCTTCATCCAGGTGGCACCTAAAGCATTTAATAAATGTTACAAGAGCATGTTCTCTTTCTCCCCTTCTCTCTCTGTGTAAAATGCTTAGGATCTACTTGTATGGTGCATCAAAATCAAAATTCACTTTGCCCATGAACGAAATGCAACTAAATTTGTTGTGAAATCAAGCAACTCTTAAATAGTTCACAGCAATGATAAGCAACAGTTTAGAACAATAAATTATTAATACTATATCCAAGTGAAACAGGGGTGAATGTAGATCTGTAGAATGTAATTATCTGAGCTGGAATTTGGCCAGTTAATCCTCATATTGTTGCAAAAAGTGCCTACCAATCTTTAATTAATGTATGTGGTCAGTAACTTGGCTTTACATTTCATCAGAAAGAATTAAAGAAGATGAGATTCTTGTTGATCCTTTACTTGACTCCAACTCTTGAATGAAGGGAGTAAATACTTTAATAATCTCTTTACTTACTGTCATGGTGACAGGCCACTTTATAGAATTTTTTTCACTGCTGTTTTTGGAAAAGGCAGAAAGGGAGTAAAGAAAGCCAGCTTCACTTTCATCCAAAATACTCAAATTCTTGTTAAATTCATGTTGTTGTTTGTAACATCTACATGTCCCAGCTGAATTCAGAGCCCCCTTGTGCTTGGTGCTGTACAGACTCATAATAAGGGACACTGAATGGCATACAGTCTAAATTGACAAGGGAGAAAAAGGAAGTGTTGTTATCCCATGTCTACATGGGGAATTAAAGCTCAGAGAGATTAGGTATCTTGTCTGTGGTCACGCAGGATATCTTTGGCAAAGCCAGAAATTAAACTCTGATCTCCTGAGTTCCAGTCCAGTGCCTTAATCACAAATCCATCCTTCTTGCATTAAAAGAGCACTCACATAGCTTGTTAATCTTAGTTTTAGTTTTCATGTGGTAAGAGCTAACTGCCACATATTGCATATTTTTCATTATAATGGAGCTGGAAGCAACACCTAAGTGTTGCTTAGCACTTTCTATTGTAAATCCCTGTTTTTAGTTGTTTATAACTTTGACCATTTAGGCTGAAATTTTACATGCCAGGTCTGCCTCAGGCTGAATGTTGCTGGGAAATTTTCAGCAAAAGTGGATCAACTCTTTCTGAGAACGAGGCTAGGGAATATACATTATTTTGCCAGTGTTCCTTAAAAAAAGTTCGAACTGTTTGTTGAGAAGCTCTAGCACTTTCATACTTTGGAACAGGGACTTGAAATTAGGCAACGGGTGCCAGAAGGGGATCAGAGAGGTGCCTTTTGCTGTTCCTGTGGAAATCTACCTAATCTACTTGACTGAATTATAAGCCTCTGAAAATCACTGTTTGCACATGCTGTGTAGAGGTTTGTTAGCAACATTTTCCAAACATTCTGTCTTCACTGAACATTCTGCAGCTCTTTAGAGCCACAGCCACAGTGAGCATGCTTCATTCCCATAGAGCAGGGGTAGTCAATTATTTTTTGTCAAGGTCCAAATTTCTTGGTCAAGGTATAGTCAAGGTCCAGACTCTGGAGGAAATAATTTTTTAAAAAAGTATGATGATAAGTAAATAAAAAGATTTTGGGGTCTGTTCAAAAGCATCTGGCAGTCCGGATTTGGCCTGTGGTCTGCCTGTTGATTACCCCTGCCAGAGAGCTTAGTGAGTACGCTCCAGCCCAGGACTGAGCAGGACTTTTCTTGCAATTACTCTTTCCATTAGCGAGAGGCCACTGTGGCACCAGACACCAGAACTGAGAACAGGGAGGAAGAGATCTTGTGAAAAATATGTGATCACAATTAAAGACTGTATCATTAAGGTTTCACAGGAAACCTTAATTCTGGTATTTCCTAACTTTTGTATGTGTGATTTTTACAAACCTTAATGTTGTTTCAACCTAATGTAAAACTCCATTTAAAATAATTTAAAAAACAGTGGTTCTTTTTGTTTCTGCTCTGTTTTTTTTAAATACCTTTATAGATATTTAAAAATAACATTTTTCTTCTTACTAACTTTGCCCATTTTATTCAGCTAATACATATTTTTGCTATTGTTTCGAATGGCACTGAAAGCGATGTGGCTATTTTTGTTTACTTCATACTGAAACTGGAGTTTACATACTGCTTTCTGTGAGTATTGAAAAAATGGTAGCTATTGTCACTTTTTTTTCCCCCCACTGAATCTGTTGGTAATAGAGTAGAAGAATAAGATACTTTGATTCCAAAAGGTATTTCCTGCCGGATTTTAAAAAAATAAACAATTTAATAATAATTACATTAAATAATAATTTAAGACAGTTCAAATACGTAGTCTATATTGAATTTTTCTTACAATTATTTGTTTTTTTCTCTCTTCCTCTCCTCTGTCTATAGCTTCTAGATCTCAGATCCAAAATGGTCTCTAAAGAAGTCTCATTGCAAGAGCTGAAGGCTGAAGTGGAAAGCTACAAGGAAAACAATGCTAGACAATCCTCTCTACTCCTCTCTTTGCAAAATCGAGTTCAGGAGATGGAGGAGGAATCAGGTGTGCTTGCCACTTCCAAAAAACAGACAGACCTAACAGCACATGTTTTGCTCCAGGAGAATTGGGAGTTGAAGGAGAAGATCCATAACCAGGAAGCCAAACTGAAGTAAGAGATTCAATCAAGCTGTGGTATAATTTTGGGTTGAGATGTCACTGTACTGTAGTTGCCAACGTAGAGAACTACCTTTGTAGTTAAATTTCAGTGCAGAAACAGATTTGTATTGAGCTGTATATTATTAGGGTTACCATACGTCCTCTTTTTCCCGGACATGTCCGG